CATTTTTGTCTATCGCCATTTACTCCCACAGCAATCCTTAAGAAGTTTGAGCCCTCAAACTTTCATTCTGCAGAGACAGGAAAACTTGAAATCACTTGCTGCTGGTGATTCTCCATCTGCCCTCCTCCTCCCCACTCAGGAACTGGCTGACCTCCCTGTGCTGCGTCTCCTGGCCTGCTTCACCCTCCAGCTTCCACTTGACACTGGCCAGAGGAGATCAGAGGAGAGGAAAGGTGTAACACAGAACGAACCTGACTCCCTGCTCGGTCACTCTGGATCTTGCCTCTTTGCAAAACAATGTTGCCTCTAGCCTGAAATATGCAAGGCAGCACATTCTCAAGGTTCTGCCTCCCAGGCTTGTTCTTTCAAGGCCTAACAGTTTTCATTTATATGAAGATAAAAAGTTGTACAACAGAGGACCACACCGGTCCTGTCGGAGGTTGACAGCAGACCTACAAGGACAGCTGCGAGAGCAAAGGATGATCACATTCCCCTTCCTGGTCTGGTCCGCACCAAGATTTCTGCAACAACCAGCTACAACCCTGCCCCCTTTGAAGCCTGAATTCTAACTCAGGGGTAAGACGGTTCCTTGGGACATTAGATTACCATCTTCTCTGTCTGCTCGGTTTCCAAAAAAAGTCACTATATTTTGCCCCAACACCTCGTCTCTTGATTGAGTAGCCAGTCATGCGGCTGAGCAGTACAGGGTTTGGATAAAAGGAGAGGCTGGTGAACNTCTCTGTCTGCTCGGTTTCCAAAAAAAGTCACTATATTTTGCCCCAACACCTCGTCTCTTGATTGAGTAGCCAGTCATGCGGCTGAGCAGTACAGGGTTTGGATAAAAGGAGAGGCTGGTGAACGCATCCCCAGCATGTCCTGTCCCGCTAATCCGGCAGTGGCTGACTTCTGCCCAGGGCTCCTGCGGCCCTGGAGGGCGAGCCCTCCTTGGGAACCCCATCCCCACTCTCACCTGCAAGCTCTGGAACCACAGCCCCTTCCCTGCTCCTTCAGACCAGGGAGGGGATGACACCCCACCAACCCTCTTACCTGGGTGCCTCACTGTCATTTGTTGGTTCTGCGAAACCTACCCCCTCTTCTATAGAGGCCCTTCAAAAATGTCTTGCATTTTCGTGGTTTTCTCCTTTTTCCATTCTAACCAATATTCTTGCCCACCAAAATCTCACCGTAAATGAATGGTACAGCCAGGACTAAACAGATTCTTTGGCTTAAATTATGCCTCTCTTTCCATCTTAGTCTTTCTCCTAAGCACAAACTGGAATATGAACCTCTCTAGAGCATACCACGGAGAAGGCAATGGCAACCCACTCCAGTATTCTTGCCTGGAAAATCCTATGGACGGAGGAGCCTGGTAGGCTGCAGTCCACGGGGTCTTGAAGAGTCAGACATGACTGAGCGACTTCCCTTTCACTTTTCACTTTCATGCATTGGAGAAGGAAATGGCAACCCACCCCAGTGTATTAGGTGGCCAAAGTATTGGAGTTTCAGCTTCAGCATCAGTCCTTCCAATGAACACCCAGGACTTATCTCCTTCAGGATGGTTATCCAGCCCCAAATATCAACAGTTCCGAGGTTGATTACTCCTCCTGCAGAATGCCCCACAGCTGTGACTTTCCTCCTCTCTGAAATGCTCTCTGATGCCTATACCCACTGCTCTCAAGCCAGGCCACTGGCAGAATTATGTTGAGTCCTGCCCCAGGCCACAGGTGTCTTGCACCAAGGCCTCAGAAGTGGAGCCCAGAACCCAGGTCACCTGCAAAGCTGATTGAGCCCCTTTGTAACTGTTGCCCAAAGCCCCTGATATCACTGACAAACTTCCTGATTCCCAATTAGGCAAAGACGCCCACTCCCGTAAACACACTATAGTGCCCCAACCAATCACCTACTGCCAACCTTTCTGCAGGAATTTTCATTTGTCTTGAGGTTATAAAAATTGGCTATTAACTCATGAAAACTGTTGGCTTTCCCTGATCTGTCAGGAGGTTGGCCCACTGTGCTCACATTATCTCTGCCCACATTATCTCTGTTCTTTGTTCTTAAAAAACTCATTCCCTTCTGAAATGCTCTATGTCTGGAAATTCTTTTCCAAACTGTGCTAAGATTGACTCAACAAAGAATGGGGGAAGGATTAGCGAGATGGTGACCTTCTCAGACAGGGCCAGGTGCTAGCCTGAGAGGTCCAAGAGTTATGGTAAAAGTGACCTTTCCCCCTACGCTGAATTTTCCTTTCTTGAAGGGAGCTGATACTTTGGGGCCTACCAAGAAAAATAAACGACTACATGGGGCAAAAGTCTGGAAAAATACACATCAAAATATTAATTGTTAATATGTCTCTGAGTGGTAGAATTTTTAGTGATTTCTTTGTGGTTATGTATATATTTTAAATTTTGTGGGACTTCCCTGATGGTCCAGTGGTTAAGAATCCACCTTTCAATGCATGGGATATAGGTTCGATCCCTGGTCAGGGAACCAAGATTCCACATGCCACGTGGCAACTAAGCAACGAACACCCAGTGCAGCCCCAAAAAGTTAATAAAATAAATTTTGCTATAAAGGTTAACATTTATATAATTATTTAAAACTCTAAAAAGAAGCTATTATGCCATATTCACTGACTCCATCCCTCCCAGTCCCAGTTCCTCAAGTGCACAGACTTTCACATGGCAATATATCAGGGTGCTTTAATAATGAAACCCAGAAAATTGTCTTTACAGCCAATTAGAAGGAATGACTCTACTTCCTTCAAGATCATTCATATTTGAGGAATAAATGAATGAATGAAGTATTCTTTACTTTCAAATGACATGTATTTATGCAACTGACCAAGGTTACTTCCCTGGAGGCAAATTTGAGACTCAGCACAAAAGCATATAGACATGCACTGTCCTATATGGTAGCCACTNAGTATTCTTTACTTTCAAATGACATGTATTTATGCAACTGACCAAGGTTACTTCCCTGGAGGCAAATTTGAGACTCAGCACAAAAGCATATAGACATGCACTGTCCTATATGGTAGCCACTGTAGGCTAATTTGTTTCCTATGTGTCTCTCTGCAACCCCATGGACTAAAGCCCACCAAGCTCCTCTGTCCACAAGATTCCCCAGGCAAGAATACTGGAGTGGGTTGCCAGTTCCTTCTCCAGGGTATCTTCCTGACTCAGGGATCAAACATGCGTCTCCTGAGGCTCCTGCACTGCAGGCAGATTCTTTACCGCTTAAGCCATCAAGGAAGCCGCAAGATAGCCATTCAGTTCAGTTCAGTTCAGTTCAGTCGCTCAGTCGTGTCCAACTCTTTGCGACCCCATGAACCGCAGCACGCCATCACCAACTCCCGGAGTTTACTCAAACTCATGTCCATCGAGTCGGTGACGCCATCCAGCCACCTCATCCTCTGCTGTCCCCTTCTCCTCCTGCCCCCAATCCCTCCCAGGATCAGGGTCTTTTCCAATGAGTCAACTCTTCGCTAGACACACACTATTTTTTTTAATTGAAGTACAGTAGATTTACAATGTGCCAATCTCTGCTGTACAGAAAAGTGACTCAGTTACACACATATTAAATATTCTTTTTAAAACATTCTTTTCCATTACAGCTTATCCAGGAGATTGGATATAGTTCCCTGTGCTATACATTAGGACCTTGCTGTTTATCCATTCTAAATGTACTATTTTGCATCTACCAACCCCAAACTCCCAGTCCATCCCTCTCCCTTCCCCCTCTCCCCCCTGGCAACCACAAGTCTGTCCTCTATGTCTGTGAGTCTATTTCTGCTTTGTAGATAGGTTCATTTGTGCTATATTTTATTTTATTTTATTTTTTGTGCTATATTTTAGATTCCACAAATTAGTCATATCATATGGTATTCTCATTCTGACTTAGTATGATAATCTCTAGTTGCATCTGTGTTTCCTTTTTTGTGGCTAAGTTAATACTCCACTGTTTATATGTATCTCATCTTACTTATCCATTCATCTGTCACTGGACATTTATGTTGTTTCCATGTTTGGCTGTTGTGAATAGTGCTGCTATGAACATCGGGGTGCATGTTTCTTTTAGAATTACAGTTTTCTAGGGGTATAGGTCCAGGAGTGGGATGGCTGGATCCTTTGGTAATTTTTAGTTTTCTGAGGAACCTCCATACTGTTTAAACAAACAGACATACACTATTTAAATGTAAAGTAATTAAATATAGAACATTTCCATTTTCACAGCAAGTTCACACTTTATTTTTTCCCCCTGGACTTAACTTTCTTACATTATCTTTGCTCCCATATCTGGTTACATTTATTTTCTGCTGACTTGCTTCGCCTCTACATGATTTTGTTGCAAACCACCCTAGTTCCTTTGTGGGACAATTCAGGATATCAGTACTTTTAAATATTTGTGTCGAGAGAAACTTGCTGTTGCTGGGAGCTCAGCCTTAGTTTCTCTAGTGTGCACTTAAATCATGTAACCCTCAGAACAACGTCTGAAGTGCTAAGAGTTTCCAGTTTCCAAAGAGGAAAGCGCAGTCAGGAGAGACTAAGTGACCTGCGGAGGATACATACCAAGGAGCAGAACCCCAGGCCGGCGGGTCCCTGGAGTCCCAGCCGGCCGAGTTCTCACCCCCGCTGGAGATGCCGAACAGAGCCGCTCGCTCACCCAGCCGCCCCACCACGCCGCATAGCCCGAAACACTAACTGAATACCTCTACAAAAAAACCGAAACCATCACCATTTTACAAATGAAATAGGGATGAAATAGTCTTAATACTCGGCCTTTGTTTATTTGACTTAGGCCCTCCCCAAGGAGCCCGTAGCGATCGCCCGCCAGCCGAGTCTCGCTTGCGCCAGTTCCCCGCCGGTCGGGGCGAGGTGGGCGGCGCCGAGAGCTCTGGGCTGGTGGCCGGTCAGGCGCTGGGTCTCCCGCGCGCCTCGGTTTTCAAGCTCCTTCTGGAGGGTTTCAGAAAAGCTTGATCCCGATCCCCCCGCGCGCCTTACCTGCCGCTGGGCACAAAGCTGAAGCTCCAAAGCCACCTCCCAGCTCCGTGCCACCACCCGCCCTACGAACCCTGCAGGAGCGCGGCTGGGATTGGCTGCCGAGTCGGAGGGACGGGAGAGGCCCGCGAAGGAAGGAGGAGGAGAGACCGGGCGGGGTGGGGAGTGTGTGGGGAAGGGGTCCCGCCTACGCCTCCTCCCGCGAGGGCGCAGCCCCAGCACTCTGCTAGATTACCCGAGCCGCGGGACTGGCTGTGAATTTGTCCAGGCGGCAGCCTTCAGCCCAGCTCCTGCCCTGTCCCTTGCGCCTTGCTTGGCGGCGCCAGTGGGCCCAGGGCACGAGTCCGCAGGGGAGCGGGGAGCCCTAGGCTCCTGTTCCGGGCCCGCAGAGTGTCTGGGGCTGTGCACCGTGTGACCCATCTCTAGCGGGGGGCATCGGAGCCCCTCCTCTGCCCCACTCCCGCCACGGGAACCCTCTGGATCCTTTTTGGATTAGTAGCTCCGGCCCTGGTGGAACAACCAGGGGAGGCATTTTTTTTTTTTTTCCTCCTCTGCGTGTGTGTTGAAATACCTGTAACATAAAATTTCCATCTTAACCATTTTTAAGTGTATACAGTTCAGTGATATCAAATACATTTACTTAGTTGTACAAAAACACCACTATCCATATCTATAACTGTTTTCATCTTGTGAAACTGAAGCTCTAGACCCATGAAACAATGACTCCTTGGTTATTTCTTGCCTCCAAGCCCTGGAAAGCACCATTCTACTTTCTGTGTTTATGATTTTGACTGCTGTATCTCGTATAAAGAAAGCTGAGTGCCGAAGAATTGATGTTTTTGAACTGTGGTGTTGGAGAAGACTCTTGAGAGTTCCTTGGACTGCAAGGAGATCCAACCAGTCCATCCTAAAGGAGATAAATCCTGGGTATTCATTGGTAGGACTGATTTTGAAGTTGAATACTTCAAATATTCTTTTGAATATTTTGGCCACAGGTGCCAATACTGAGGCCACCTGATGCGAAGAGCTGACTTGTTTGAAAAGACCCTGATGCTGGGAAAGATCGAGGGCAGGAGGAGAAGGGGACAACAGAGGATGAGATGGTTGGATGGCATCACTGACTCAATGGACATGGGTTTGGGTGGACTCCGGGAGTTGGTGATGGACAGGGAGGCCTGGCGTGCTGCGGTTCATGGGGTCTCAAAGAGTCAGACACGACTGAGCAATTCTCGAATATGTGGAATCATATATTATGTATCTTTTTCTGACTGGCTTATTTCATTTAGCATAATGACCCCAAGAGTCATCCATGTTGTAACATATTGCACAATGTGCTTCCTTTTTAAGACTGAACAATATTCCATTGAATGTATAATATATTTACATTTTGCTTATCTGTTCATCCACTGATAAACATGACTTGCTTTGTTGGGTTAGTTATTACAAATAATGCTGCTATGAACATGGGTGTACAAATATCTTTTGAGGCCCTGCTTTCAATTCTTTGGGGTATATGCCCAGAAATGGAATTGCTGGATCATATAGTAATTCCATCTTTAATTACTTGAGGAAACACCAGTTTTCCATAGTGACTATACCATTTTACATTTTCACCAATTTTTACCATTTTCACCAATAGTGCACAAAGTCCTAATTTCTCCATGTCGTTGCAAACACTCATATTCTGTTCGTTTGTTTGTTTGTTTCAGTAGTAGCTAGCCTAATGGATGTGAGGTGGTATTTCAATTCAGTTTTGATTTGCATTTCCCTAATGATTGGTGATGTTTGACATCTTTTCATGTGCTTTTTGGCCATTTGGATCTCTTCTTTGGAGAAAAATCTATTTTGTTCATTTTGAATCAGGTTGTTTGATTTTTGTTGTTGAGTTTTAGGAGTTCTCCATATATTCTGGGTATTAATGTTTTATCAGATATATGATTTGCAA